TGGGTCACACCTGTCCCTGTGGGTCACGCCTGTCCCCGTGGGTCACACCTGTCCCTGTGGGTCACACCTGTCCCCAAGGGTCACACCTGTCCCCAAGGGTCACACCTGTCCTCATGGGTCACACCTGTCCCCGAGGGTCACACCTGTCCCTGTGGGTCACACCTGTCCCCGTGGGGTCACACCTGTCCCCGAGGGTCACACCTGTCCCCGTGGGTCACACCTGTCCCCGAGGGTCACACCTGTCCCTGTGGGGAAGGGGCGCCCCCTATCGGTTTCTCACGCTCCATGCAGGGATCCCACCTGTCCCCTACAGGTGTCACAGGTGTCCCCGCAGGTGTCCCACGTGTCCCTACAAGTGTCAGACCTCTTGAACCCCCCGGGGACACCCCCCACCCCGGGCAGCCCCTCCCCACTCAGACCGTTCTGACCCAGCCCCGCTCTCCCTGGGCCATTCCAGGCTGGGGACAGGGCAGGGCACCAGTGCCACCCCAGCGCCACCCCAGTGCCACCCTATCAGGGACAGGGGACAGCCGCGGGGCGCCCCCGAGCCCCCCCTCCCGCACACCCCCAGACCTTTCCCGAGCCTCGCTCCCTTCCCGGGGCCTGCACTCCTCGCAGCCCCTGACATGGGGGGCACAGCCCGGGGGGGCACCTGAGCAGTGCCAGGCACGGCCCCGCTCCTGCCAGCCCCTGCTGCTGTGCCAGCCCGGGTGGCACTGCCCCGTGGCACAGCCCCGGCCCGGGTGGCACTGCCCCGTGGGCACGGCTGGGCTCACTGCTCCTGTGCCAGCCCGGGTGGCACTGCCCCGTGGCACTGCTGGCCTCACTCCAGCCCTGGCCCAGCCCCCAGGGCCATTCCTGGTCCCCCCGGTCTCTCCTGCCCAGCCCAGAACATTCCATGGGGATGTTGTGACCCAGCAGGACCCGGCCTTGGCCTTGGGGACCTCTGCCCTGCTGGGTGACCCCAATCCTGCTGGGTGACCCTTGCTGGGTGACCCCTGCCCTGCTCGGGGACCCCAACCCTGCTGAGTGACCCCAATCCTGCTTGGGGACCCTTGCTGGGTGACCTCTGCCCTGCTGGGTGACCCCAGTCCTGCTCGGGGACCCCCACTCTGCTGGGTGACCCCTGCCCTGCTGAGTGACCCCAATCCTGCTTGGGGACCCTTGCTGGGTGACCTCTGCCCTGCTGGGTGACCCCAGTCCTGCTCGGGGACCCCCACTCTGCTGGGTGACCCCTGATGGGGATGTTGTGACCCAGCAGGACCCGGCCTTGGCCTTGGGGACCCCTGCCCTGCTGGGTGACCCCTGCCCTGCTCGGGGACCCCCACCCTGCTGGGTGACCCTCCCCACGCGGGGTGACCCCTGTCCCGCCGGTTCCATCCCCAGCCCATGGATGCCGTGTGTCCGGGTCCCACCCAGCCCGGGGTCACCTGGGCACCGTGTCCAGGTCACCGGTGAAGGTGTGACCCAGCAGCAGCCCCAGCAGCGCCCTGGGCAGCCCCCAGCTTTGATTCTGCTCCCCCCCAGGGCTGGGCCAGCAGAGGGGAGTGTCCCCATGGAGATGTGCCAGTGGGGGCACATGGACACCCACCCAGTGTCCCCATGGAGATCCCCCAGTGTCCCCATGGAGATGTGCCAGTGCCCCCATGGACACCCACCCAGTGTCCCCCTGGTGATCCCCTCAGTGTCCCCACGGAGATCTCCTCAGTCTACCCATGAAGATCTCCTCAGTGTCCCCACGGACACCCACCCAGTGTCCCCATGGAGATGTGCCAGTGCCCCCATGGACACCCACCCAGTGTCCCCCTGGTGATCCCCTCAGTGTCCCCACGGAGATCTCCTCAGTCTACCCATGAAGATCTCCTCAGTGTCCCCACGGACACCCACCCAGTGTCCCCATGGAGATGTGCCAGTGCCCCCATGGACACCCACCCAGTGTCCCCCTGGAGATCACACCCAGTGTCCCCAAGGAGATCCCCCCAGTGTCCCCATGGAGATGCCCCCACTGTCCCCATGGAGACCCATCCAGTGTCCCCTGGAGATCCACCCAGTGTCCCCCTGGTGATCCCCTCAGTGTCCCCATGGAGATCCCCCCAGTCTACCCATGAAGATCTCCTCAGTGTCCCCATGGACACCCACCCAGTGTCCCCATGGAGACTGATCCTGCGTCTGCATGGACACCCACCCATTGTCCCCACTGAGATCCCCCCTCTGTCCCCATGGAGACCCATCCAGTGTCCCCATGGAGTTCCCCCAGTGTCTCCATGGAGATCCCCCCAGTGTCCCTGTGGACACCTACCCAGTGTCCCCATGGAGATACCCCCACTGTCCGTCCCCCCCCACCATGGACACATACCCAGTGTCCCCATGGGGATCACCCCAGTGTCCTCATGAACATCCACCCAGCGTCCCCATGGAGACAGATCCTGTGTCCCCATGGAGATGCCCCCACTGTCCCCATGGACACACACCCAGTGTCCCCAAGGAGATCCCCCCAGTGTCCCATGCAGATGCACCGAGTGTCACCATGAACACCAACTGAGTGCCCATGGGCACTCACCCAGCATCCCCATGGGCACTCAAATAGCGTCGCGATGGAGACCCAGCTGGTGTCCCCATGGAGATTCCCCCCCAGTGTCCCCATGGGGATCACCCCAGTGTCCTCATGAACATCCACCCAGCGTCCCCATGGAGACAGATCCTGTGTCCCCATGGAGATGCCCCCACTGTCCCCATGGACACACACCCAGTGTCCCCATGGACATCCCCCGAGTGTCCCCATGGAGATGCCTGCAGTGTGCCATGGATATGCAGCTGGTGTCCCCATGGAGATTCCCCCCCAGGGTCCCCATGGACACCCACCACTGTCCCCATGGAGACTGATCCTGTGTCTGCATGGACACCCACCCATTGTCCCCACTGAGATCCCCCCTCTGTCCCCATGGAGACCCATCCAGTGTCCCCTGGAGATCCACCCAGTGTCCCCATGGACACACACCCAGCGTCCCCATGGAGACAGATCCTGTGTCCCCATGGAGATGCCCCCACTGTCCCCATGGACACACACCCAGTGTCCCCATGGACATCCCCCGAGTGTCCCCATGGAGATGCCTCCAGTGTCCCCATGGAGATGTTCCCAATGTCACCATGGAGATCCCCCATGTGTCCCCATGGAGATGCCTGCAGTGTGCCATGGATATGCAGCTGGTGTCCCCATGGAGATCCCCCCCAGTGTCCCCATGGACACCCACCACTGTCCCCATGGGGATCCTCCAATGTCCCCATGCAGATCAACCCAGTGTCCCTATGGACACCCAACCAGTGTCCCCATGGACATCCTCCGAGTGTCTCCACGGAGATGCCTCCAGTGTCACCATGGAGATCCACCCAGTGTCCCCATGGCGATCCTCTCATTGTCCCCATGGAGATCCCCCATGTGTCCCCATGCACATCCCCCGAGTGTCACCATGGCGATCCCCCCACAGTGTCCCCATGGCGATGTCCCCACTGTCCCCATGGACCCACACCCAGTGTCCCCATGGACCCCACCATGTGTCCCCACGGAGATGTCCCCTCTGTCCCCATGGCGATCCCCCATGTGTCCCCATGGACATCCCCCAGTGTCCCCATGGGCCCAACCAGTGTCCCCATGGAGCTGCACCCAGTGTCCCTATGGAGTTCCCCCACTGTCCCCATGGACACCCCCCACTGTCCCCATGAACACACACCCAGTGTCCCCATGGACACCCATCCAATGTCCCCATGGAGATGTCCCCAATGTCCCCATGGCGATGTCCCCTCTGTCCCCATGGCGATCCCCCCAGTGTCCCCATGGACACCCATCCAATGTCCCCATGGAGATGTCCCCAATGTCCCCATGGCGATGTCCCCTCTGTCCCCATGGCGATCCCCCCAGTGTCCCCATGGACACCCATCCAATGTCCCCATGGAGATGTCCCCAATGTCCCCATGGCGATGTCCCCTCTGTCCCCATGGACCTGTCACGTGTCCCGGTCACGTGCCCCCCGGGGTGTCGGGCGCCCCCTATCGGTTTCCCACGCGCCACCCGTGGCCTCTGGCGCCCCCTAGCGGCCGCGCTGCCCCACGGGGCCAGCCCCGCCCCGCTCCTGGCGCCACTTCCGGGTTCCGGCGCCGCGCCGGGGCCGGGCGGAAGCGGCGGCGGCGGCGCTGCCATGGCGGCGGCGACGGCGGCGGGTGCCTGTCCCGGCCCCGGGCCCGGGCCCGGCGCCGCCCGCACGAAGAAGAAGCAGAAGCGCTTCGTGCCGCAGCGCGTGAAGCTGCCGCGGGCGGCGGACCCGCTGCTGGCCGTGCTGGCCTGGGGCGTCACGCACCAGGTGAGCGGCTCTGCCCCGGTGCCCCCGTGTGCCCCCCCGGGACCCGCGGCCCCCGGGATCCCCGCTCCCGGCATGTCCGTGCCCGTCCCGCCGGGACCCCGCGCGTGCCCCCGCAGCCCCCGTGTCCCTGCCGGGGCACCGGCATCTCCCCCGCAGCCCTCGCGTCCCGCCTGCCCGGGATTCCCGTTGCCCCGTCCCGTGTCCCTGTCCCTCAGCTCCATCCTCCGGGATGCCATTGCTCCCTGTCCCTGGGCTCCATCCCCCGGGATCCCGTGTCCCCATCCCGTGTCCCCACCCGTGGGCTCCATCCCCCGGGATCCCGTGTCCCTGTCCCTCAGCTCCATCCTCCGGGATGCCATTGCTCCCTGTCCCTGGGTTCCATCCCCCGAGATCCCGTGTCCCCGTCCCCCCGGAACCACCATAGCCCCCATCCCGTGTCCCCACCCCTGGGCTCCCTCTCCCGCGGTGCCCCCGTGTGCCCCCCCGGGACCCGCGGCCCCCGGGATCCCCGCTCCCGGCATGTCCGTGCCCGTCCCGCCGGGACCCCGCGCGTGCCCCCGCAGCCCCCGTGTCCCTGCCGGGGCACCGGCATCTCCCCCGCAGCCCTCGCGTCCCGCCTGCCCGGGATTCCCGTTGCCCCGTCCCGTGTCCCTGTCCCTCAGCTCCATCCTCCGGGATGCCATTGCTCCCTGTCCCTGGGCTCCATCCCCCGGGATCCCGTGTCCCCATCCCGTGTCCCCACCCGTGGGCTCCATCCCCCGGGATCCCGTGTCCCTGTCCCCCGGAACCACCATAGCCCCCATCCCGTGTCCCCACCCCTGGGCTCCCTCTCCCGGGACCCCATTGCTCCCATCCCATGTTCCCATCCCCCGGGTCCCCCATTCCCCCCGTCCCTCGGCTCCATCCCCTGGGATCCCTTGTCCCCATCCCTGGGCTCCATCCCCCCGGGATCCCCGTTGCCTCCCACGTCCCCATCCCTCAGCTCCATCTCCCGTCCCCCCAGAACCACTGTAGCCCCCACTGCATGTCCCCATCCCGTGTCCCCACCCCTCGGCTCCTTCTCCCAGGAGCCCATTGCCCCCATCCCATGTCCCCATCTCCCGGGACCCCCATTGCCCCCCGTCCCTCGGCTCCATGCCCTGGGATCCCACTGCTCCCATCCCATGTCCCCATCCCTCAGCTCCGTCCTCCTAGTGTCCCCATTGCCCTCCTCCCTGGGCTCCATCCCCCAGGACCCCCATTGTCCCCATCCTGTGTCCCCATCCCTCAGCTCCATCCCCCAGGACCCCCATTGTTCCCATCCCGTGTCCCCATCCCTCAGCTCCATCCCCCGGGCTCCCCTCTCCCCATCCCCCCGGGACCCCCACTGCCCCCATCCCGTGCCCCATCCCCACGCTGGGGGTCCCGGGGGTCTCCCCAGATCAACGAGCTGAGCCAGGTGCCGCTGCCCGTGATGCTGCTGCCCGACGACTTCAAAGCCAGCTCCAAGATCAAGGTCAACAATCACCTGTTCAACAGGTGAGCACGGGGGGGATACCTGTTCTACAGGTGAGCACGGGGGGCAGGGGGTACCTGTTGGACAGGTGAGTGTCCCAGGGACCCCACACTGACACGAGCCCCCGCAGGGAGCACCTGCCCAGCCACTTCAAGTTCAAGGAGTACTGTCCCCAGGTGTTCCGCAACCTGCGCGAGCGCTTCGGCGTCGACGACCAGGACTACCAGGTGGGCTGGCACTGCCCTGCCCCGTGTCCCCAGCGTCCCTGGCGTGGGGCACCAGGCCATCTGTGTCACCTGTGTGCCTGGGTGGATGTGCCACCGGTGTCCCCTGGCCTTGCCCCGTGTCCCCAGGGTCCCTGGCGTGGGGTGGCTGTGTCCCCTGTGTCCCTGGCTGTGTCACCTGTGTGCCCAGCTGTGCCTGTCCCCCCGTGTGCCCAGCTGTGCCCGGTGTCCCCCATCCGTGTGCCCCACAGGGTCCCTGGGGTGGGATGGCTGTGTCACCTGTGTCTCCTGTGTGCCCAGTGTCAGCTGTGTCAGCTCTGTCCCTGGCTGTGTCACTGGTGTCCCCTGGCCTTGTGTCCCCCAGGGTCCCTGGGGTGGGGTGGCTGTGTCACCAGTGTCGGCTGTGTCACATGTGTCCCCTGGCCGTGTGCTCCCCGGTGTCCCTGGGGTGGGGTGCCTGTGTCACTGGTGTCCCTGTCTGTGTGTCACCAGTGTCCCTGGCCGTGTCCCTGGCTGTCTGTCACTGGTGTCCCCAGCTGTGTCCCAGGTGTCCCTGGGGGTGGTTGTGTCACCGGTGTCCCTGTCGGTGTCCCCATGTCCCAGGTGTCCCTGTGTGTCACCGGTGTCCCCGTGTGTGTCCTCGTGTCCCAGGTGTCCCTGGCTGTGTGTCACCGTGTCCCAGGTGTCCCTGGTGTCCCTGGCTGTGTGTCACCGTGTCCCAGGTGTCCCTGGTGTCCCTGGCTGTGTGTCACCGTGTCCCAGGTATCCCTGGTGTCCCTGGCTGTGTGTCCCAGGTGTCCCAGGTGTCCCTGGCTGTGTCCCAGGTGTCCCTGTCACTGTCCCAGGTGTCCCTGGCTGTGTCCCAGTGTCCCTGTGTGTGTGTCACCGTGTCCCAGGTGTCCCTGTGATTGTGTGACCGTGTCCCTGTCACTGTCCCAGGTGTCCCTGGCTGTGTCCCAGTGTCCCTGTGTGTGTCACCGTGTCCCTGTCCCTGTCCCCGTGTCCCTGTCCCTGTCCCCGTGTCCCTGTCCCTGTCCCCGTGTCCCTGTCCCTGTCCCCGTGTCCCTGTCCCTGTCCCCGTGTCCCTGTCCCTGTCCCCGTGTCCCTGTCCCTGTCCCCGTGTCCCTGTCCCTGTCCCCGTGTCCCTGTCCCTGTCCCCGTGTCCCTGTCCCTGTCCCCGTGTCCCTGTCCCTGTCCCCGTGTCCCTGTCCCTGTCCCAGGTGTCCCTGGCTGTGTCCCTGGCTGTGTATCACCAGTGTCCCTGTGTGTGTGTCACCGTATTCCTGTGTGTCCCAGGTGTCCCTGGGGGTGGCTATGTGTCACCGGTGTCCCCATGTCCCAGGTGTCCCTGTCTGTGTCCCTGGCTGTGTGTCACCGGTGTCCCCGTGTGTGTCTCCATGTCCCAGGTGTCCCTGTCGGTGTCCCAGGTGTCCCTGGCTGTGTGTCACCGTGTCCCCGTGTGTGTCCTCGTGTCCCAGGTGTCCCTGTGTGTGTGTGTCACCGTGTCCCCATGTCCCAGGTGTCCCTGTCACTGTCCCAGGTGTCCCTGGCGCGCAGCCCCCCGCGCTGGGCGGGCAGTGCCCGCCGCTGGCTGCTCTCCGCTGACCGCACGCTGGTGCTGAAGGAGCTCTCCAGCGAGGACGTGGCCGACGTGCACGGGCTGCTGTGCCACTACCACCAGGTACGGCCGGGACACCTGGGTGTCACCTGTGTCACTGCGGTGTCACCTGTATGCCTGGGTGTCACCTGTGTGCCTGGGTGTCACCTGTGTCACTGTGGTGTCACCTGTGTGCCTGGGTGTCACCTGTGCCTTGGGTGTCACCTGTGTCACCTCCCCATGTCCCAGGTGTCCCTGTGTGTCACCGGTGTCCCCGTGTGTGTCCTCGTGTCCCAGGTGTCCCTGGCTGTGTCCCTGGCTGTGTAACACCAGTGTCCCTGTGTGTGTGTCACCGTATTCCTGTGTGTCCCAGGTGTCCCTGGGGGTGGCTATGTGTCACCGGTGTCCCCATGTCCCAGGTGTCCCTGTCTGTGTCCCTGGCTGTGTGTCACCGGTGTCCCCGTGTGTGTCTCCATGTCCCAGGTGTCCCTGTCGGTGTCCCAGGTGTCCCTGGCTGTGTGTCCCCGTGTCCCCGTGTGTGTCCTCGTGTCCCAGGTGTCCCTGTGTGTGTGTGTCACCGTGTCCCCAGCTGTCCCCAGGGATGGCCGTGTCACGCTGTCCCTGAGTGTCCATGTCCCCCTGTCCCGGTGCCCATGTCCCCTGTCCCAGTGCCCGTGTCCCCATGCCCATGTCCCCATGCCCATGTCCCCTGTCCCCACGCCCATGTCCCCGTGCCCATGTCCCCTGTCCCCGTGCCCATGTCCCCTGTACCCATGCCTGTGTTCCCTGTCCCCAGTGCCCATGTCCCCATGCCCGTGTCCCTGTCCCCCTGTCCCTGTCCCTGTCCCAGTGCCCGTGTCCCCTGTCCCCATGCCCATGTCCCCTGTCCCCACGCCCGTGTCCCCGTGCCCATGTCCCCTGTACCCATGCCTGTGTCCCCTGTCCCCAGTGCCCATGTCCCCATGCCCGTGTCCCTGTCCCGTGTCCCTGTCCCCGTGTCCCTGTCCCTGTCCCGTGTCCCTGTCCCCACGCCGTGTCCCTGTCCCCGTGTCCCTGTCCCCTGTCCCTGTCCCCACGCCGTGTCCCTGTCCCCGTGTCCCTGTCCCCGTGTCCCTGTCCCGTGTCCCTGTCCCTGTCCCGTGTCCCTGTCCCCACGCCGGGTCCTGTCCCAGTACGTGGTGCAGTGCCACGGGCAGACGCTGCTGCCGCGGTTCCTGGGCATGTACCGGGTGAGCGTGGACAGCGAGGACACGTACCTGCTGGTCATGAGGAACCTGTTCAGCCACCGCCTGCCCGTGCACAGGAAGTACGACCTCAAGGTATCGGGGTGCCCCCAAGCCCCTTTGGCTCCGGCTGTGGGGCACTGCCCCAAAACCCCTCCTGTCCCCTCTGTATTGGGGTGTCCCTGCCTCCCCCCAAACCCTCCTGTCCCCTCTGTATTGGGGACACCCCAAGCCCCTCTGGGTACCGCTGTGGGGCAGCCTGCCCCAAAACCCCTCCTGTCCCCTCTGTATTGGGGTGTCCCTGCCTCCCCACAAACCCTCCTGTCCCCTCTGTATTGGGTTTTGGGGACACCCCGAGCCCCTGTGGCTCCGGCTGTGGGGCAGCCTGCCCCCACAACCCTCCTGTCCCCTCTGTATTGGGGTGTCCCCGAGCCCTCTGGGTGCTGCTGTGGGGTGTCTTCCCCAAAACCCCTCCTGTCCCCTCTGTATTGGGGTGTCCCTGAGCCCCTCTGGCTCCTGATTTGGGGCAGCCTCCACCAAAACTCCTCCTGTCCCCTCTGCTTTGGGTATTGGGGACACCCCGAGTCCCTCTGGCTCCTGCTGTGGGGCAGCCTCCCCCCAGACTCCTCCTGTCCCCTCTGCTTTGGGTATTGGGGACACCCCGAGGCCCTCTGGCTCCTGCTGTGGGGCAGCCTCCCCCCAGACTCCTCCTGTCCCCTCTGTTTTGGGTTTTGGGGTGTCCCTGAGCCCCTCTGACTCGTGATTTGGGGCAGCCTCCCCCCAAGCCCCTCCTGTCCCCTCTGTTTTGGGTACTGGGGACGCCCTAAGCCCCTCTGGCTCCTGCTGTGGGGTGTCCTCCCCTAAAAACCTTCCTGCCCCTCTGTATTGGGTTTTGGGGTGTCCCTGAGCCCCTTTGGTTCCTGATCCCCCCCAAACCCCTCCTGTCCCCTCTGTATTGGGTATTGGGGTGTCCCCGAGCCTCTCTGGCTCCGGCTGTGGGGCAGCCTCCCCCAAACCCCTCCTGTCCCCTCTGTTTTGGGTTTTGGGGTGTCCCCGAGCCCCTCTGGCTCCTGCTGTGGGGCAGCCTGCCCCCAGACTCCTCCTGTCCCCTCTGTGTTGGGTTTTGGGGTGTCCCCGAGCCCCTTTGGCTCCTGCTGTGGGGCATCCTCCCCCAAACCCCTCCTGTCCCCTCTGTTCCCTCCAGGGCTCCCTCGTGGACCGAGAGGCCAGTGACAAGGAGAAGGTACTGCAGGACGATGCTGTGAACCCCCCAAATTTTGGAGGGGGGGGTCTCCATGCCTCAGTTTCCCCCTCCCCAGTAATGACAGCTCACTGCCCGCCCCCTCCCCACACAAAGCTTTCCTGGGGAGGGGCTGGCCCGTGACCCCCCGAGGCACAGCCTGGGGGGTCCTGCAGCCCTGGGGTGCCCCCTCCAGCTCAGGGGTGTCTGGGGGGGGCTCCCCCCGTCCCCCCCCAGGGCAAGGAGCTGCCCACCCTGAAGGACGTGGATTTCCTCAACAAGAACGAGAAGGTGTTCGTGGAGGAGGAGCAGCAGCGCGACTTCATGGACAAGCTCAAGAGGGACGTGGAGGTGGGGAGGGGGCTGCACCCCCGGGGGCTCTGAGGGGATTGGGGGGGCTCTCCCCACCCCGAGTGACCCTTTGTTTGGCCTGCCAGTGCCCGGGCTCTGAGGGTTTGGGGGGGTCTCCCTGTGACCATGAGAGTGTCCCCCACCCCTAATGACCCCTTGCTTGTCCCCCCAGCCCTGAATCCAGGGGGTCTTTGGGCTGTGGGGGTCTCTTTCTCAGTGCCCAGGCTCTGAGGGTTTGGGGGGTCTCCCTGTGACCATGAGAGTGTCCCCCACCCCTAATGACCCCTTGTTTGTCCCCCCAGCCCTGAGTCCAGGGGGTTTTTGGGCTGTGGGGGTCTCTTTCTCAGTGCCCAGGCTTTGAGGATTTGGGGGGCTCTACCAATGGCCATGAGAGTGTCCCCCACCCCTAATGACCCCTTGTTTGTACCCCCAGCCCTGAGAGTCCAGGGGGGTTTTGGGGACCATGTCCAGTGTTTGATGGCTGTGGGGGTCTCTTTCTCAGTGCCCAGGTTCTGGGGGTTTTGTGGGGCTCTCCCTATGGCCATAAGAGGGTCCCCCACCCCTAATGATCCCTTGCTTGTCCCCCAGCTCTGAGAGTTGGGGGGTTTTTGGGCTGTGGGGGTCACAGTGCCCAGGCTCTGGGGGTTTTGGGGGGCTCTCCCAATGGCCATGGGGATGTCCCCCACCCCCAATGACCCCTCGCTTGTCCCCCAGCCCAGTTTCCCCCTCCCCAGTAATGACAGCTCACTGCCCGCCCCCTCCCCACACAAAGCTTTCCTGGGGAGGGGCTGGCCCGTGACCCCCCGAGGCACAGCCTGGGGGGTCCTGCAGCCCTGGGGTGCCCCCTCCAGCTCAGGGGTGTCTGGGGGGGGCTCCCCCCGTCCCCCCCCAGGGCAAGGAGCTGCCCACCCTGAAGGACGTGGATTTCCTCAACAAGAACGAGAAGGTGTTCGTGGAGGAGGAGCAGCAGCGCGACTTCATGGACAAGCTCAAGAGGGACGTGGAGGTGGGGAGGGGGCCGCACCCCCGGGGGCTCTGAGGGGATTGGGGGGGCTCTCCCCACCCCGAGTGACCCTTTGTTTGGCCTGCCAGTGCCCGGGCTCTGAGGGTTTGGGGGGGTCTCCCTGTGACCATGAGAGTGTCCCCCACCCCTAATGACCCCTTGCTTGTCCCCCCAGCCCTGAATCCAGGGGGTCTTTGGGCTGTGGGGGTCTCTTTCTCAGTGCCCAGGCTCTGAGGGTTTGGGGGGTCTCCCTGTGACCATGAGAGTGTCCCCCACCCCTAATGACCCCTTGTTTGTCCCCCCAGCCCTGAGTCCAGGGGGTTTTTGGGCTGTGGGGGTCTCTTTCTCAGTGCCCAGGCTTTGAGGATTTGGGGGGCTCTACCAATGGCCATGAGAGTGTCCCCCACCCCTAATGACCCCTTGCTTGTCCCCTCAGCTCTGAGGGTTGGGGGTTTTTGGGCGGTGGGGGTCACAGTGCCCAGGCTCTGGGGGTTTTGGGGGGCTCTCCCAATGGCCATGGGGATGTCCCCCACCCCCAATGACCCCTCGCTTGTCCCCCAGCCCTGAGTCCAGGGGGTTTTTGGGGACCATGTCCAGCGTTTGATGGCTGTGGGGGTCACAGTGCTGAGGCTCTGAGGGTTTTGGGGTGCAGCCCCCGAGGGTTTTGGGGTGACCCCCAATTCCCACCGTGTCCCCCCAGTTCCTGGTGCAGCAGAAGCTGATGGACTACAGCCTGCTGCTGGGCATCCACGAGGTGGAGCGGGGCGAGCAGGAGGAGGAGGAGGAGCTGGAGGAAGAGGAGCTCGGGGGGGGCGATGATGGGGGGCTGGGGGGCCCCTATGGCACCTCCCCGGAGGGTCTGGGGGGGCTCCTCAACTCCTACCGGCCCCTGGGGCCCGGCGAGTTCGACCCCTGCGTGGACGTGTACGCCCTGCGCGGGGCCGAGGGTGAGCGGGGGGGTCCCGGGGGGTCCCAGGGGGGTTTGGGGGTGCGGGCAGCGCTGACCCCCCCCGGCCGTGCCCCCCAGGAGCCCCCCGGCGCGAGGTTTATTTCATGGGGCTGATCGATGTCCTCACCCAGTACGACGCCCGCAAGAAGGCGGCGCACGCGGCCAAGACCGTCAAACACGGGGTGAGGGCAGGGGGTGAGGGGCACCCTGCACTGTTGGGGCATTTCCTGACTGGGGGGCCACCCCGGACTGGGAAGGGCACTCTGAACTGGGGGAGGGCACCCCAAACTGGGCAAGGCACCCCAAACTGGGGGGGGTTGCATTTCCCAAGTGTGGAGGGGGCACCCAGGACTGGGGAGGGCACCCTGAACTAGGGGGGAAGGGATTTCCCAACTTGGGGGGGGCACCCTGAACTGAGGAGGGCACCCCAAACTGGGTGGGGGGGGGACTTCTGAACTGGGAGGTGGCACCCCAAACTGGGGAGGGCACCCCAAACTGCGGGGGAGACATTTCCCAACTGTCCTGGCTGGGGGGCCACCCCGGACTGGGAAGGGCACTCTGAACTGGGGGAGGGCACCCCAAACTGGGTGGGGGGGGGACTTCTGAACTGGGAGGTGGCACCCCAAACTGGGGAGGGCACCCCAAACTGCGGGGGAGACATTTCCCAACTGGGGGGGTGGGCACCCTGAACTGGGGAGGGGGGGGCACTGAATTAGAGGATGGCATTTCCCATGCTTCCCATCTCGGGGGTGGACACCCCAAACTGGGAGGAGGGCACCCCAAACTGGGAGGAGGGCATTTCCCTACTGGGGGGGTGGCATTTCCCAGCTGGGGGTGGCAGGGCTGCCTCCCCCTTGGTGTTTTGGGGGGGGTTTGTTGGAGTGCTGGGCACAGGGAGGGGCTGGGGGCACCTGGGCCAAGCCTTCCAAGGAGGATTTGGGGGGGGTCGAGCCCCTGGCAGGGTCTGGGGGGCACAGGGGGTGTCAGGTGCCCAGGTAGGGGTTGGTTCCTGTGGGCTGGGGGAGGGGCTGGTTCCCAGGGCTGTTGTGGGTGTGTCGGGGGGGCTGGGGGGTCGTTCCCGGGGGGGCTCTGAGCCGGTGCCCCCCAGGCTGGAGCCGAGATCTCCACGGTGCACCCCGAGCAGTACGCCAAGCGCTTCCTGGACTTCATCACCAACATCTTCGCCTGAGGGGGGCTCAGCCGGCCCCCCCCGGGACCAACCCCCCCCCCGGGGAGTCCTGACCCCCCCACAGCGGGACCAACCCCCCCAGCCGGCCCCCCCCGGGACCAACCCCCCCCTCGGGGAGTGCTGACCCCCCCACAGCGGGACCAACCCCCCCGGGCTGTGCTGACCCCCCCCCAGTGCGGTTCCACTCCTCAAGTGCCTTAACTTTATGTCAGGGGGGTCCGGGGGGGCTCCAGCCCCAGCATGGGGGGGTCTGGGGTGCCCCCCCAGCACAAGGGGACCCTTCTGCCCCCCCCAAAGCTGGGAGGGGGTCAAACACTACTTGCTTTTTGGGGGGGAGGGGTGAAAGGGGCCCCCCCAGTCCACCCCTGTTCCAAATGAGGCTGGGGGACACCCCCTGCCCCCCTCCCTGTGGGACCTGGGGGGCTCCAGAGCTCCCCCCCTTCACTGCAGCTCCCGGGGGTCCCCCGGGGGGGCGGGGCCTGCCGGGCTGGCACCCCCCTCCTCACTGTGGGGGGGTGTCGTGTGTTGTGTCCCCCCCACCCCGGTTATGGGGCTCCTTGCCCCGCTCTGGACCGAGAAATAAATTATTGAACTTGCCCCGAGTGAGTGCCCTGAGTGCCCCCCAAACCCCGGGTCCCCCATTGCCAGGTGTGGGAGGCTGGGCAGGGACCCCCAAAATCCTCTGAGACTGGGCAGGGACCCCCAAACCCGTGTGAGACTGGGCATGGAACCCTCCCCCCCAAAACCTCTCAGAGCCTGGGCATGGACCCCCAAACCCCTCTGAGACTGGGCATAGACCCCCAAAATCCCATTAGACTGGGCATGGACCCCAGACCCCTCTGACACTGGGCATGGACCCCCAAAATTCTGTGAGAGTGGGCAGGGACCCCCAAACCCATCTGAGACCAGGCATGGACCCCCAAACTCGTGTGAGATTGGGCATGGAGCCCCCAAAACCTCTCAGAGGCGGGCATAGACCCCCAAGCCCCTCTGAGACTGGGCAGGGACCCCCCAAACCCCTCTTGAGATTGGGCAGGGACCCCCAAACCCATCTGAGACCAGGCATGGACCCCCAAAATCCCATGACACTGGGTATGGACCCCAAACCCCTCTGAGACTGGGCAGGGACCCCCAAACCCCTCTGAGACAGGATGTGGACCCCAAAAAGTGCCAGAGACTGCGCAGGGACCCCGAATTCCCGGCCCCGCCCAGGCCCCGCCCCCGCCGGCTCAGCGCCCCGCCCCCTGGTTGGGGAGCCCCCAGATTGGTTGTGGGGTGGTGGGGCTGTCTGTAACCCCCCCGTGTCCCCCCAGCCCCGGGCTCGTGGCTCTGCTGATCCTGCGCTCCGCTCGTGTCCCCCATGGGCTCACCAGGTGGGTGTGGGGGGGACACCCCGCCCTGGGGACCCCCCGGGGCTGGGACCCCCCCTCGTGCACGGGCCTGGCTTTGGGGACCCCCTTGGGACCCTCACCCCGGGCGGTGGGACCCCCCGGCCATGGAGCACCCCCGGGTTCTGGGAACCCCCCTCGGGCACCCCCCGGCTTTTGGGGCACCCCCGGGTTCTGGGGACCCCCCTCGGGCACCCCCCGGCTTTTGGGGCACCCCCGGGTTCTGGGGACCCCCCTCGGGCACCCCCCGGCTTTTGGGGACCCCCTTTGCACCTCCCGAGTTCTGGAGACCCCCTCGGCTACCCCCGGGGTTTTGAGGACCCCCCTCGAGCACCCCCGAGTTCTGGTGACCCCTCGAATTTTGGGGACTCCCTCGGGCACCCCCCGGGTTTTGGGGTCCCCCTCTTGGGCCCCCCCAGGGTCGCAGCCTGGTGACCCCCCCAGGTGTCCCGGATTTGGGGGCAGGACAGGTTTAACCCTTGGGTGGGTGAACCAGGGGTCCCCCCAGGGTTTGGGGGGCACTGTGGAGCCCCCTGGGTGCCCTGCCCAGGCTCTGGGGGGTTTTGGGGGGCCATGGGCAGATCTGGCTGGGTTTTGGGGTGACCCACGGTCCCCAGGCTCTGGGGCCTTGGGGTCTCCATGCCCAGTGCCAGGGGATTTTGGGGGTCCATGCCCAGGCTCAGGGGATTTTGGGGGTCCATGCCCAGGCTCTGAGAGGTTTGGGGTGGTCCATGCCCAGTCCCAGAAGTTTGGGGGTCCATGCTCAGTCTCTGGCAGTTTTTGGGGTCCATGTCCAGTCTCAGAGGATTTTGGGGAGTCCATACCCGGGCTGTGAGAGGTTTTTAGGGGGTTCACGCCCAGGCTCTGAGAGGATTTTGGGGGTCCATGCTCAGTCTCTGGCAGTTTTTGGGGTCCATGTCCAGTCTCAGAGGATTTTGGGGAGTCCATACCCGGGCTGTGAGAGGTTTTTAGGGGGTTCACGCCCAGGCTCTGAGAGGATTTTGGGGGTCCATGCCCAGTCTCAGAGGGGTTTGGAATGGTCCATATCCAATCTCAGATGGTTTTGGGGGTCCATGCCCAGGTTCTGTGAGGTTTTGGGGGCTCCATGCCCAGTGTCAGAAGTTTTGGGGTCCTGTGCTCAGTCTCTGGCAGTTTTTGGGGTCCATATCCAGTCTCAGATGATTTTGGGGCTCCATGCCCAGGCTCTGAGAGGTTTTGGGGTCTCCATGCCCAGTCTCAGGCTTTGCAGATCCCACACCCAGACTTTGGGGTTCAGAGGGTCCCATGGCCAGCCCTGATGGTTTTGGGGTGCCCCCCCCCAAGTTTGTCCTGTCAAAGATGTCGGGGTGTGAGGGGGCCACCAGGTGGTGGTGCCAGTGGGGGTCCAGTCCCTGGCAGTTTTGGGGGTCCCATGCCCATTCCCTGTTGGTTTTGAGGGGTCCCATGCCCAGTCTCTGGGGTTTTGGGGGGGTCCCATGCCTAGTTCCCTGGCAGTTTTTGGGGTCCCATACCCAATTCCCTGGCAGTTTTGGGGGTCCCATGCCCATTCCCTGTTGGTTTTGGGGGGTCCCATGCCCATTCCCTGACAGTTTTGGGGGTCCCATGCCCATTCCCTGGGATTTTGGGGGGTCCCATGCCCATTCCCTGGGGTTTTGGGGTTGCCATGCCCATTCCCTGGGGTTTTGGGGGTCCCAGTTCCCTGGCAGTTTTGGGGGTCCCATGCCCAGTCCCTGTTGGTTTTTGGGGTCCCATACCCAATTTCCTGGCAGTTTTGGGGGTCCCATGCCCATTCCCTGGGATTTTGGGGGTCCCAGTTCCCTGGCAGTTTTGGGGGTCCCATGCCCATTCCCTGTTGGTTTTGGGGGGTCCCATGCCCATTCCCTGACAGTTTTGGGGGTCCCATGCCCATTCCCTGGGATTTTGGGGGGTCCCATGCCCATTCCCTGGGGTTTTGGGGTTGCCATGCCCATTCCCTGGGGTTTTGGGGTTGCCATGCCCATTCCCTGGGGTTTTGGGGGTCCCAGTTCCCTGGCAGTTTTGGGGTGCCCGGTGTCACTCTGCTGTCACGGATGTTGGGGTGCAGGGCCCACCAGGTGATGGTGGCACCGGGGTCTGGGCTCAGGAGGTTTTGGGGGGTCCATCTCCATCCCCTGCTGGTTTTGGGGTGTCCCTGGCTGTCTGGGGGCTCTGTGCCCAGTCCCTGGGTTTGGGGTGCCCGTGCCCAGCCCGGCAGTTTCGGGGTGTCCCCGCAGTGTCCTTGGTGCTCTCGAGGATGTCGGGGTGCGGGGGGCCCAGCAGGAGTGGGGTGACAGAGCCAGCAGGGTCCTGTCCCTGGGGATGTGCCCAGCCCTGGCTGCTTTGGGGTGCCCATGCGTGTTTTGGGGTGTCTATGCTCAGTCACGGATGTTTTGGGGTCCCCATGGGTGTTTTGGGGTGTCTGTGCCCAGCCCCGGCTGTTTTGGGGTCCCCATGGGTGTTTTGGGGTCCGTGCCCCGCCCCTGATCTTTTTGGGGTGTCCATAGCAGTTTTGGGGTGTCCATGCCCAGCCCCAGATGTTTTGGGGTGCCCGTGCTCAGTCCTGGATGTTTTAGGGTGTCCATGGGTGTTTCAGGGTGTCCGTGTCCACTCCCGGCTGTTTCGGGGTGCCCGTGGGTGTTTCGGGGTGTCCATGGCCGTTTCGGGGTGCCCGTGCCCGCTCCCAGGTGTTTCAGGGTGCGGGAGGCCCCTCCCGGTGCCCTGGGCTCGGTCCCAGCCCCGCCTGCCCGGTGCCCGTTCCTGTCCCCAAGTGCCCGGTGCCCGTTCCCATCCCCAGGTGCCCTGTGCCTGTTCCCAGTGCCTGGTGCCCGTTCCCATCCCCCCTGCCCGGTCCGGTGCCTGGTGCCCGTTCCTGGTTCCCAGTGCCCTATGCCTGTGCCCAGTGCCCATTCCCATCTCCAGGTGCTCGGTGCCCATTCCCATCCCCCTGCCTGGTGCCCATTCCTGCTGCCCGTGCCCGTTCCCGGTGCCCAGTGCCCATTCCCAGTGCCCGTTCCTGGTTCCCGGTGCCTGTTCCCGGTGCCCCTTCCCATCCCCACTGCCCATGCCCGGTGCCTGTTCCCAGCCCCGCCTGCCCGGTGCCAGTTCCCGTTCCCGTTCCCATCCCCGTTCCCCGTTCCCGTTCCCGTTCCCCGTTCCCATCCCCGTTCCCGTTCCCATCCCCATTCCCCGTTCCCGTTCCCGTTCCCGTTCCCATCCCCGTTCCCGTTCCCGTTCCCGTTCCCCGTTCCCGTTCCCGTTCCCCCTTCCCATCCCCGTTCCCGTCCCCGTTCCCCGTTCCCGTTCCCCGTTCCCATCCTCGTTCCCCGTCCCCGTTCCCATCCCCGTTCCCATCCCCGTCCCCGTTCCCGTTCCCGAGCCGAGGCCCGCGCGTGTCCCGCAGTGTCGTTCGTGCTCTCGAGGATGTCGGGCTGCGGGGGCCCCGCCAAGAGCCGTGTGACGGTGCCCAAGCGCGTGTGGGAGTTCGTGACGCGGGAGCGCGCGGCGCGCCTGGCGCTGCTGGCGCAGGAGGCGCGGGTGCGGATCCTGGTGGACGGCGAGACCCCCGAGCTGTACGTGCTGCAGCTCTGCGCGACCCCCCCGGGCCCCGCCGGCGGCGCGGGGCTCTGCCCGGCCCGCAAGGCGCTCAAGGCGCTGCTCAAGGAGACCGAGAAGGAGCTGAAGAAGCGCAGCCAGCGGCACGGGGAGGTGCTGGGGGCCCGGCCGGAGCCCCCCGCGGGCGCCGCGGGCTCTCCCGGCGCGGGCCCGGCGCGGGACGAGGAGCCGGAGCGGCAGTGCCCGATCTGCCTGGGCGAGATGCGCGGGCCGCGCACGCTGGAGCGCTGCCGGCACTCGTTCTGCGGGGAGTGCATCGCCCGCGCGCTGCAGGTGCGCTCCGCCTGCCCCGTCTGCGGCCGCTTCTACGGGCAGCTGGTGGGCAACCAGCCCCCCGACGGGCGCATGCTGGTCACCCGCGACGCCGCGCTGCCCCTGCCCGGCTACGAGGCCTTCGGCACCATCATCATCCAGTACGTCTTCCCGCCCGGCGTGCAGGGGGTGAGTGCGGCACGGCCGGGGAGGGGCCGGGCGGTCCCCAGTGGTGTGGGGTGGGGGGAGCTGGCCCAGCCCTGAGCCCCCAGCGCCCCCGCGGCTGCCCCCAGTGCCCCAGGCTCGGCTCTGTGCCCACAGTGCCCC